GTCGGTTATTTTTATTTTGTATTTAGCAATGCAGTCGGAAGGTCTGTTGGAACATGTCCCAGTTTTCGGAAGTGCCAGCGGATCCGTTTCGTTCGACTAGCCCGAATGTCCAGTCCTCTCTGCCACAACCAGTCCCGGCTGTTCAGCAACAGACGGCGTTTGTCCAGCCTACCTCAGCAGGCTCATGCGACCATAGAGCCGTGCAATCAGGAGATCACGGTGGTGGAGGTGGTCCAGAGCTCCCCTGTGGAGAGGCCGAGCACGTCTTCATCCTTGTTTGCCACGTGTAAGTATATGTTTTTTTTTTTTTTTTAAAAAGACAATCGCCTGTCATGCAGGATAAAGTGACGGCTGCTCAGCAAAGGACATTCCCTGAGCCGTGTGGTGCCCATCTTACCTGCACTCCCTCACAGCTCCTTCCCTCCTTCCTCCCCAGAAGATGGTGAGAATACCCGGCACTGCGCGGACTTACGCTAAAGCATGCAACCTGCACCCCCCCCCCCCCCCCCTGGTGACAGTGCCTGGACTTAGCTGGTAATTGCTAACTTGACCGGGGGGGGCGCTGTTCACCCCTCCCCCCGGATGTGCCAGCGACAGGGGTGCGCTATTTGCACCATAGGACGCTTTTACCCCCCTCTTGCTCTGATGTTCGTGGCGATACCTCACGTGTGTGGTTTGAACACCATTTACATGTGTGGGTGTGGCCTACGTATGCCTTCATCACTATGTGCGAGCACGGGGGGACAGGGGCACTTTAAACTTGTTTTTTTATTTATTTTCATTTTTTTTTTTTTTGCAGTCCCTTTAAAAAAATTTTTAATCCTTTTTGTTATCACAAGGAATGCATGAATCCCTTGTGATAGAATTAATTAGTGTTACGACAATGAGACATAATTGGTGACAGGTCCTCTTTATGGAGAGATATGGGGGGGGCAGTGAGACATAATTAGTGACGGGTCCTCTTTATGGAGAGATATGGGGGGGGCAGTGAGACATAATTAGTGACGGGTCCTCTTTATGGAGAGATATGGGGGGGGGGCAGTGAGACATAATTAGTGACAGGTCCTCTTTTATGGAGAGATATGGGGGGGGGACAATGAGACATAATTAGTGACAGGTCCTCTTTATGGAGAGATATGGGGGGGGGGGATGAGACATAATTAGTGACGGGTCCTCTTTATGGAGAGATATGGGGGGGGGGGGCAGTGAGACATAATTAGTGACAGGTCCTCTTTATGGAGAGATATGGGGGGGGGGACAATGAGACATAATTAGTGACGGGTCCTCTTTATGGAGAGATATGGGGGGAACAATGAGACATAATTAGTGACAGGTCCTCTTTATGGAGAGATATGGGGGGGGACGGGACAATGAAACATAATTAGTAACAGGTCCTCTTTATGGAGACATCAGGGGTCAATAAGACCCCACATCTCTCCTCTGCGATGTAAAGCATTGGATCAAAAAAAGCGACATTGCTCCGGTCCTCCAAGGGCATAGAGATGAGTGGAGGCCATCTTTCCTTCACTCATCTCTATGCCAAGCGCCGGGATCGTTCGATGATTTCTCAGGTAAGGCAGAAAACAACTGAGTGGCGACAGCGGCGAGGGGGCGGGGGGTTTTTTTTTCTGTCACCTGTAATCAGTGCTTTTTTTTTTTTTTTCATATCGGCCAACGGCCGATAGGGGTGTTTTCGGCTGAAGCGTTTTGGCCACCGAAATTTTGGTGCACCCCAAATATACGGGGTGCAGGGATGAGCTTTGCAAACGTTTTGCATCAGGCATAGGAGAGACAATGGCGTCTTTCACTGGTTGAGTATACAGCTATAAGCCGTGATATATTTTCAGTTTCAGCCACCCCGAGTTCTTCAATCCCGAAGCGCCCCCGTGAGGAGGAAGAGGGTTCTGCGGAGATGACGGAACATGCAGGGGAGGAGTCAGATGTGCCCGCCAGTAAAAAAAAAATAAAAAAAAAAAAAAAAAAAAAAAAAAAAAAAAAAAAAAAAAAAAAAAATAAAAAAAAAAAAAAAAAAAAAAAAAAAAAAAAAAAAAAAAAAAAAAAAAATAAAAAAAAAAAAAAAATAAAAAAAAAAAAAAATATAAATAAAAAAAAAAAAAAAAAAAAATAAAAAAAAAAAAAAAAAAAAAAAAAAAAAATAAATAAAAAAAAAAAATAAATAAAAAAAAAACAGCGGGGTGTGCAAAGAGTAGAGCCAGTGGTAAGCCGGCATCTTCTTTTCAATCTTTTGGTAAATGTATGAATCTCTTTTAAAGTCACCCTGTGACTGCGGGTTCTACAGGCCCTAAGGCTACGTTCACACTAGCGTTGTGTGCAGGCGGCAGAGAGGGCGTTTTGGAAAGCGTTTTTACCGCTTCCCAAACGCCTCTGCCAATTCTGCACATTACAGCACATGGTGCTGTTCTAACGGGAGCGTTTGCGTCGCGTTGCGTCGCGGCAAAACGGACGCCTCTGGTCGAGTCAGGAGGCTTTGAAACCTCCTATTGTCGTCTATGGTGCCGCTCCGCAAACGCCCGGCTGGTGGTTGCGGGGCGTTTGCGGAGCGGTAACACCACTCAAAACTGCATTATAGGCATTTGTGGGTGTGTTAACACTCGGCAAATGCCTAGCACCCGCCGCTAAAAACAAATAAAAAAAAAACGCGCATGCGGCGTTTGCGGAGCGTTAAAAAACGCTCCGCAAACGCCGGACCAACGCTTGCCAAACGCTATAGGGGCGTTTGGCAAGCGTTGGTAAAACAGCCAAGTGGGAACGAGCCCTAAAGCTCAGCCTGTAAGAGAGGCTACTTACCTTTCCAGGGGCTTGTGTGTTGGAATGCCCCCATGTGGCTGATTCCTGGCACACTTCTAGGTGTGTGAGTACTCGCTCCCCTGTAACACACTGTGGTTCGCCCACTGGCTCACACATCAATACAGGGCATATGAGCTGCCGGGAGAGACCACGGCATGTGGTGGGGGTAGCAGGGAATTGATAAACCTATTGGAATACCTGCAGCAGCCGAGGATCAGCCCTGTGGGGGCTCTAAAAGGAGGTGAGAAAAAAAAACATGAATTCATTTCTCCATTTCCAGTACATGTGCCGGTCCAACAGGCCTTTCCTAATAATCTGATGCATTTCATACCTTTTACATTTGTAATGAAGGAAGAAGTTATATAACCGAAGAAATCACCGAACCCGAAACCCACACCTTTCCTTCGACCCGGAGTCCCAGGATGCACTGTCACAGGTAACTTTATTCAAATATTCATGAACAGCCAGCTAAAATTCTATAGCTTTTTTTTGTGAACCCCTCGCCCTCCAGAGGATTCCCCCCCCCCCCCTCCTCGCCCTCCAGAGGATTTCCCCCCCCCTCCTCGCCCTCCAGAGGATCCCCCCCCCCCCTCCCCGCCCCTCCAGAGGATTCCCCCCCCCCCCTCCTCGCCCTCCAGAGGGATCCCCCCCCCCTCCTCCCTCGCCCTCCAGAGGATTCCCCCCCCCCCTCCCGTAGCCCTCGCCCTCCAGAGGATTCCCCCCCCCCCCCTCCTCGCCCTCCAGAGGATTCCCCCCCCCCCCTCCTCGCCCTCCAGAGGATTCCCCCCCCCCCCCCCCCTCGCCCTCCAGAGGATTCCCCCCCCCCCCCTCCTCGCCCTCCAGAGGATTCCCCCCCCCCCTCCTCGCCCTCCAGAGGATTCCCCCCCCCCCCCTCCCCTCGCCCTCCAGAGGATTCCCCCCCCCCCCCCTCCTCGCCCTCCAGAGGATTCCCCCCCCCCCTCCTCGCCCTCCAGAGGATTCCCCCCCCCCCCCCCCTCCTCGCCCTCCAGAGGATTCCCCCCCCTCCTCGCCCTCCAGAGGATTCCCCCCCTCCTCGCCCTCCAGAGGATTCCCCCCCCCCTCCTCGCCCTCCAGAGGATTCCCCCCCCTCCTCCACGCCCTCCAGAGGATTCCCCCCCCTCCTCGCCCTCCAGAGGATTCCCCCCCCTCCTCGCCCTCCAGAGGATTCCCCCCCCCCTCCTCGCCCTCCAGAGGATTCCCCCCCCCTCCTCGCCCTCCAGAGGATTCCCCCCCCCTCCTCGCCCTCCAGAGGATTCCCCCCCCCTCCCTCGCCCTCCAGAGGATTCCCCCCCCCCCCCCTCGCCCTCCAGAGGATTCCCCCCCCCCCCCTCGCCCTCCAGAGGATTCCCCCCCCCCCTCGCCCTCCAGAGGATTCCCCCCTCGCCCTCCAGAGGATTCCCCCCTCGCCCTCCAGAGGATTCCCCCCTCGCCCTCCAGAGGATTCCCCCCTCGCCCTCCAGAGGATTCCCCCCTCGCCCTCCAGAGGATTCCGCATCCCCCCTCGCCCTCCAGAGGATTCCCCCCCCCCTCGCCCTCCAGAGGATTCCCCCCCCCCCCGCCCTCCAGAGGATTACTCCTCCCCCCCCCCCCCCCTCCTCCGCCCTCCAGAGGATTACTCCTCCCCCCCCCCCCCCCCCCTCCCCTCGCCCTCCAGAGGATTACTCCTCCCCCCCCCCCCCCCCCCCCCCCCCCCCCCCCCCCCCGCCCTCGCCCTCCAGAGGATTACTCCTCCCCCCCCCCCCCCCTCGCCCTCCAGAGGATTACTCCTCCCCCCCCCCCCCCCCTCGCCCTCCAGAGCATCATTCCTCCCCCCCCCCCCCCCCCCCCATCGCCCTCCAGAGGATTCCCCCTCCCCCCCCCTCCCCCTCGCCCTCCAGAGGATTCCCCCCCCCTCGCCCTTCAAAGGATTCTCCCCCCCCCCCCCCCCCCCCCTCGCCCTCCAAGGGGGGGGGGGGGAAGGGGCATTTTGACACTGACTTTGGGGGGGGGGGGAGGGGAACTGACTTGGTGTCACTGACATCCCCAGTGACACCAATACAGTGATCAGTGCTGATAAGATAAAAAGCCCCGACACTGTACTAATGGCACTGGGCAGGAAGGGGTTAACGTGATGGGCGATCAAAGGGTTACCTGTGTGCTGTGGGTTTCACTGTGAGCATGCTGCTGTGCAGAGCCATACAAAGCAGTGTGCAGGAGCTGACATTGCTTACACACAGGTCTCACACCCCCCCCCCCCCCCCCCACGCCTCTGCCAGTAATACCCAGAGATCACCTGGTGCCGGCGGGGAGTCACTGGCCAGGAAGTGGTGATTGACAGCCAAGGCCGCGAATGGCGGCGCTGCGGGTATATTCTGCAATATGGACATTTTTGGTAAACTCATTCGATGAATCCGAGCTCTGCAGGCCGCGGTCACACACACACCGCATTGATGCATTCGCACAATTTCACAGTAACCATGAGAGAAAAACATGAAGTAAAAGAATTTGAGTCGTTCTCCAGTTATGTGTTTATTTCAGGTACTTCTATAGCCATCAATGTACTCCGCACTTTACATATATATTGTACATTCACATCAGTCCCCCCCCCCGAGGAGCGTATAATCTAAGGTCCCTAACTCACATTCATACATACACATACTAGGGACAATGTAGACAGGAGCCAGTTAACCTCCCAGCATGTCTTTGGAGTGTAGGAGGAAACCGGAGTACCCGGAGGAAACCCACGCAGGCACAGGGAGAACATGCCAACTCCAGGCAGGTGGTGCCGTGGTTGGAATTCGAACGAATGACCCGAGTACTGCCAGGCGGAAGTGCTAACCACTTGGCCACTGTGCTGCCCAACCGATGAACCTAAAATCAATTCTGATATCGCCGTTTTAATAACCTGACGGCTTATTATTCTAAAAAGGAAAACCTTCATTTGGTTTGCAAATATTAAAGATTCCAACTACCCAGCGAGGAGGAGTTGTATTCCTTACATTTAAAAGAGCACCTGTCATTGTAGATCCATCATGGCAGCGCCTGATAGCGGGCATCCCTTCACCTGCTGCCGCCACGTCCCTCACCTTGTGTCACCGCCGCATCACCAGCCGTCCCATTAAAGTGAATGGGACTGTCGATGAGTCAGCTGCGGCTCAGGGGGAGGAGCTGCTGCGGCTCAGGGGGAGGAGCTGCTGCGGCTCAGGGGGAGGAGCTGCTGCGGCTCAGGGGGAGGAGCTGCTGCGGCTCAGGGGGAGGAGCTGCTGCGGCTCAGGGGGAACAGTTGCTCTTCAAAAATGATGATTTAATTCAAATCCGCCCAGCTGGGAACTTGCAATGCTGCCGGAGTTCAGTGAAACAAACAGGAATTATGTTTCGGTAGATATTAGTGATTTGTTTTGTGAATGGAGGTCGGTGTTTAGAATGTCTTCTTTTTTTTTTTTTTCCTTAGTTCGGTACGCTGGACTTTCAACAAATTCCTGATAGTGAAGAGACCTCACAGTCGCTCGGGGATATCACCGCTCAGTCCTCGGATCAGTCCCAGAGTGTGCAATCCACCCAGCCGAAGAACGAGAATGTCATTGTTATAGACAGCGATGAGGAAGAGGAGGAGGAAAATGAAGGCGATCAGGAGGTAATGGCACTTAAAAACGTGCAGAGGTATTTTAAAGGGGGGGGGGCGCGCAGAACCTGAAGTGTCAGCCGGGGGACCCGAGAAAAGGAGGAATGCTCTGTGCAAGACTATTGTTTTGTCTTTAATATTTAAAAAGAAAACAAACCCTGAACCTTTAACCCCTCCAGAGGATTTGCACCCTCCACCTCCAGAGGATTTGCCCCCTCCCACCCACCCCTCCCTCCAGAGGATTTGCCCCCTCCCACCCACCCCCTCCCTCCAGAGGATTTGCCCCCTCCCTCCAGAGGATTTGCCCCCTCCCACCCACCCCTCCCTCCAGAGGATTTGCCCCCTCCCTCCAGAGGATTTGCCCCCTCCCCCCCCCCCTCCCCCCCCCCCCCCCTCTCCCCCAGAGGATTTGCCCCCTTCCCCCCCCCCCCTCTCCCCCAGAGGATTTGCCCCCTTCCCCCCCCCCTCTCCCCAGAGGATTTGCCCCCTTCCCCCCCCCCCTCTCCCCAGAGGATTTGCCCCCCCCTCTCCCCCAGAGGATTTGCCCCCCCCTCTCCCCCAGAGGATTTGCCCCCCCCCCTCTCCCCCAGAGGATTTGCCCCCCCCTCTCCCCCAGAGGATTTGCCCCCCCCTCTCCCCCCAGAGGATTTGCCCCCCCCTCTCCCCCAGAGGATTTGCCCCCCCCTCTCCCCAGAGGATTTGCCCCCCCCTCTCTCCCCAGAGGATTTGCCCCCCCCCTCTCCCCCAGAGGATTTGCCCCCCCCTCTCCCCCAGAGGATTTGCCCCCCCTCTCCCCCCAGAGGATTTGCCCCCCTTTCTGACCAGGACATTTTTTGCCTTATGGAGCTGCGTTACTTTAACTGACAATTGCGCAGTCATGCAACGCCGCACCCAAATGACATTTATGTCCTTTTTTCCCCCACAAATGGAGCTTTTGGTGGTATTTGATCGCCTGTGCGTTTATTTTTGCGCTGTAAACCAGAAAAGACCCACAATTTTTTTTTGCTATTAAAGATGTCCAATAAAAATATTACAAAATATAAAATTTCATCATAATTTTCGGCCAGAATGTCTCGCTCCGTGTCTTTGCTATAAAAAAAAAACCCGATACGTGTAATTGGTTTACATGAACGTATATACAAATGGCGGGATACATACTGGGGGTTTTTTTTTTTTTTTTTTTTTTTTTTTTCTCCATTAGTGCTGACATTTTGTTAACTCTGGCACTGCCCGAGGGCCCCGGGGTCAGTAGGGGGCCCCATGAGATGCCCCCGGTACCTTCATAGGCTTTTTTGGGTGTGGTTTGAGTGTGGGTGAGGACACGGGCCCATGATCCCCTATTGCCCGGGGGCCCCATGAGTTGTCAGTAGCTCTTCATTGTGATTTTGTTTCCCAGGACATACAGGGGTACGGGGAGGATGAGGATGATGAAGACGATGCTGGAATGGGGGACGGAGATGAGAGCAATGGTGAAGGCGGCAGTGCGGATGGAAATGAAGCCTATGAAGGAGAAGATGCTGCTGTACGTATCTTCCGTTTCTCAGTCACAAACCGATGCAATAAATCTATCAAATCTGTTACATAATTAAGAATTTGTATTTGTCCATCCAGTTCTGGGATTTACACAGCACAGCCCCGTCTGGCAGAACAGGAGACCGGAATTTTCTCTGCAGCAGTCCAATAATACGTAGAAGTCTGGTCTCTCCCCCCAGTCCCTGTGACTGGACAGTGAAAGGAGAAGTAGCAGACTGATGAGCTGCTCCCTCTGTCACACTGCTGCTGTGTAAGGAGCATGCTGACAGGAGGAGAGAGCAAACGCTTGGCTCCTTGTGCTGTGCCTCTTCCCCCAGTCTGAGCTCTGCTGTATGGGGAATGCGAGAGGCTGATATCAGATTCCACTGCTTGTATTATGTAAGGATGTGTTTAAAAGAAAAAAAAAAAAGCTGAATTATACTGCGACTTTGAGATCTCCGAGTTCAGTGTTACACATAAAAGGGGAAACTTTTTGCAATGTAAAGGGATTGTAAACCTAAAGAATCGGGGGGGGGGCGTCAGCGGGAGGCGTGGTGCCCCGTCCCTGGCGTGAGCGGGAGGCGTGGTGCCCCGTCCCTGGCGTGAGCGGGAGGCGTGGTGCCCCGTCCCTGGCGTGAGCGGGAGGCGTGGTGCCCCGTCCCTGGCGTGAGCGGGGAGGCGTGGTGCCCCGTCCCTGGCGTGAGCGGGAGGCGTGGTGCCCCGTCCCTGGCGTGAGCGGGAGGCGTGGTGCCCCGTCCCTGGCGTGAGCGGGAGGCGTGGTGCCCAGTCCAGGAGAATGTTCCAACATTCGCCACAACTCCCAAATATCATCATGCTGGTCTAGACTAGTCATTTAACCCAGGGGTGGGCAACTGTGGCCCTCCAGCTGTTGTGGAACTACAAGTCCCATGAGGCATTGCAAAACTGACAGTTACAAGCATGACTCCCAAAGGCAGAGGCAAGATGGGACTTGTAGTTCACCAACAGCTGGAGGGCCACAGTTGCCCACCCCTGATTTAACCAATCACTGCCTGAACGACGTCCTGGCAATATCTGGATGATGCAGCAGCTACAGGCATCATCCAGAGATAGATATATACAGTCAGGTCCATAAATATTGGGACATGGACACAATTCTAACATTTTTGGCTCTATACACCACAATGGATTTGAAATGAAACAAACAAGATGTGCTTTAACTGCATACTCTCAGCTTTAATTTGAGGGTATTTACATCCAAATCAGGTGAACGGTGTAGGAATTACAGCAGTTTGCATATGTGCCTCCCACTTGTTAAGGGACCAAAAGTAATGGGACAATTGGCTTCTCAGCTATTCCATGGCCAGGTGTGTGTTATTCCCTCATTATCCCAATTACAATGAGCAGATAAAAGGTTCAGAGTTCATTTCAAGTGTGCTATTTGCATTTGGAATCTGTTGCTGTCAACTCTCAAGATGAGATCCAAAGAGCTGTCACTATCAGTGAAGCCATCATTAGGCTGAAAAAACAAACCAAACCCATCAGAGAGATAGCAAAAACATTAGGCGTGGCCAAAACAACTGTTTGGAACATTCTTAAAAAGAAGGAACGCACCGGTGAGCCCAGCAACACCAAAAGACCCGGAAGACCACGGAAAACAACTGTGGTGGATGAGCGAAGAATTCTTTCCCTGGTGAAGAAAACACCCTTCACAACAGTTGGCCAGATCAAGAACACCCTCCAGGAGGTAGGTGTATGTGTGTCAAAGTCACCAATCAGGAGAAGACTTCACCAGAGTGAATACAGAGGGTTCACCACAAGATGGAAACCATTGGTGAGCCTCAAACACAGGAAGGCCAGATTAGAGTTTGCCAAACGACATGTAAAAAAGCCTTCACAGTTCTGGAACAACATCCTATGGACAGATGAGACCGACATCAACTTGTACCAGAGTGATGGGAAGAGAAGAGTATGGAGAAGGAACTGCTCATGGTCCTCAGCATACCACCTCATCAGTGATCATGGTGGTGGTAGTGTCATGGCGTGGGCATGTATGGCTGCCAATGGAACTGCTTCTCTTGTATTTATTGATGATGTGACGGCTGACAG